TCACACATGCACAAATTTCCTCTTTAAAAATACCATTGTGGGAATTGATGTTTGTGAAAAGTGTCCGGCTGACAAATATGGAAGCTAGTGGCCTCTATTAACACAGGTATAGCACAAACAGCTCACACTAAGGATGAAAGGGTAGATCAGTCTCTAGGCCCATTCAGTACTTGGCATCTCTGCTGAATCTTTTAAGCAAGGAGAGCCAGGTACAGTAACTCCTCTCTTAACGTTGTAGTTACGGTATGTTCCTGAAAAATGCTATTTTATGCGAAACGATCTTAAACGAATCCAATTTCCCCATAAGAATTAATGTAAATGGAGGGGTTAAGTTCCAGGGAAATGTATATGTATATACAAATGTATATATATATACATATATGCGTCTCTCTCTCTCTCTCTCTCTCTCACACACACACACCCCGTGTGTGTGTGTGTGTGTGTGTGTGTGTGTGTGTGTGTGTGAGAGAGAGAGAGAGAGAGAGAGAGAGAGAGAGAGAGAGAGAAAGAGAGAGAGAGATGCGCATTGCCCCTTTAAGTATGCTGACCCCACTCTAAGTACATTGCCTTTTTAAGTAGATCAGCAAGTTGAGACAGCAGCTGCTGTCAGCAAGCTCCCTAAGCCCTGTCATGTCCCCCCTGTTCTGTGGAGATTGAGTACAGGAGCAGGGGGCAGGAGCGGGAGTAGGGGGACACCCTGACATCAGCAGCCTTCTTCCCCCCCCATCCCCTGCACAGCAAGCAGGAGGCTCCCGGGAGCAGCTCCAAGGCAGAAGGCAGAAGCAGCACATGGCAGTGGGGGGGGGGACAGCTGAACTGCCGGCAATTGATAGCCTGTTGGGCGGCTGCCGCACAGGAACTTAGGGGAGCTGATGGGGGACTGCCATCCCACCCTGGTTCTGGGCTGTTCTTCAGGCATGCAGTGGACAAAGCAGGCGGCTGTCAAACAACGTTATAAGGGAGCGTTGCACAACTTTAAACGAGCATTTTCTCGAATTGATCAGTGACGTAACAACGAAACAACGTTAACCAGGACAACTTTAAGTGAGGAGTTATTGTAGCGTCAATGACAGTGTTGTTTTTTGTGGTGCAGATACCTGACCACTTGGAACTGGATACACACCACCAAATTCATGGAACATAAGACATCAGAAAACCATGAGGTTCCCACTACTGGATGAGTTAGTGGAATTACTTAGGCAGAGTCCTGTGCTTTTGTAGTCTATGCCACATATACACATGTAGTGTCGTCTATGTATTATATGCCATTATAAATTGTTACACATTTTGGAAACTTGGGTCCAAATTCTCTGCTGGTACAGAAGAGCACAACTCTTTTGAAGTCAATGGAATTGCTACCACTTGCAAAAGCACAGAATGTAACCCTCACTGTCTACCCTTCTCTATTATTTTAATGTTTTTGATTGTTCTAACAGGCAAAACAATGAATACATTTGCACTTTTTGTAGAGAAACTAGTGTTTTACTGTATTCACATACCTGGTTGTGTTTGATATCTTCAGCAGGTGCACCATAAGAATTCCTGTACAAAGTTGAGATTCCAGCATTTTGAGCTAAAGACAGAAGTAAAGGAGAAAAGTATTACCAGACATGTCTCTCTGCAGGATTTTTTGCAGTGATTTTGCTGTTATTACACTACATATATTAACATAATACCAGTTAAGATTTGTCCCAAGTAAAAAACATTCATTCTGGAATGAATATATATATAAGAATTAAGAATTGGAATCTTTTAGAGGTATATTGAGAGAATGATAGCTTTTTCTTTTTTAATTAAGAGTGTGAGATTCTTAATTTGGGATTATTTCCTTCTCTTTGCAGGTTATTAGATTAACTGTGCTGATTAAAAGTTACAAATAAGGCAACTGAATTGCATCTTTGAAAGCACCAGCATGAACCTAAGCTTCATGAAGTGTGGCTGTTATGTGAGTTCACTTTTACTTTCACTTGCAAATTATCACATAAATTCCAGACTTTTCTTTTCTTCCCTTACTACCAAATAGTCTCATTCTTCACTTTGCTGTGTACATATATATCACTTAGTAATGTTAGTAGGTGGAAGTTATACTGAATCTGTGGATTTCACACATAAGTCAATAAGAAAACTTGGTATGCAAACAGCAATAAATCATAAATCTCAGGCTAAATACATTGTGTTACAGTATATCATTTATACATTTAACATGCAACTATAAATACTGGGACTAAAAAACCTGGCACTTTTGTTCCTTGGATCAGACACTTAGGATGATGACGGCCAAATGCATGAATTAGCTGCACTGCAATGCTGCTTTTGTTATAAGGTGAAACCAACCACTTGGGGGGAAAGAGATTTAAATTAGCTCCAAAAATGAACTGCCAAAAGGCTGATACCTGGTGAAAATGAAGCGATCTGGATGATCAGGCCTCAGCCTGTAAACTAATATCACTCTTCCCCAAGATGTTCCACAGTTAAGCTCATTGAGTGAATTGAGTTATGAGCCTGAAAGTGTTGAGATGAAGCAGTAATTCTAGGGACAAGAAAAATATAACATCTGTCCTTTAGAGATGCTCACATTTTTAGTAGGGATTTCAGTTTTTCTTCCTTTCCGATAACATTTTGAGCCATGGGTGTCTCAAATGGGGCTGATTCTGCCCCTGCATTTGCCCTTACAACCTATCTGAAATACATATTGCAGATGTGGTTGGAAAAAACTTGTGCACTTTGGATATTTGCAAGAATGCAAAGTAAACGATTTGTGCAGTGGCTGCAGGTCACTCACAGGGAGCATGAATATAGAACAGGTACTTACCCTACAGTAACTGTGGTGCTTCAAGATGTTGTACATCTTACAAGAACATAAGAATGGCCATACTGGGTCAGACCAAAGGCCCTTCCAGTCCAGTATCCTGTCTTCCAACAGTAGCCAATGCCAGGGGTCCCAGAGGGAATGAACAGAACAGGTAATCATCAACCATCCCCTATCGCTCATTCCCAGCTTCTGGGAAACAGAGGCTAGGAACACCAGCCCTGTTGTAATTAGTGTGGTTCCTACTGTAGGTACATATGTGCATTAGGTACATAAGACTATAGTTTTTCTGAATAGTGGAGCATGTGGCTATGTCTCCTTGTGCTCCTGTACAAGGGCAGAGTGGGAGTGGCTGCAACTCTCCTTCAGTTCCTTTGCAATTCAAAGCCCAGGTTAGCTGAGGACTCTGAAAAGCAGGGATGGAGGGCAGGTCAAGGGATCCACTGACTATAACATCTCAAAGAACCAGAATTTCTGCAGGGTAAATAACCATTTTCCCTCTTTGAGCATGTGTCAGTGTAGATCTGGTGACTGGCAAGCAGTATCCCCTCTGGACAGGTGAATGAGGAAGGCCAGTCAATTAGTCAAATAATGAGTAAAGCACGGCTTTCCTGAACTTGGCATAAGACCTGGCTGCCATGTCAAGGGTTTGACAATGTTTGACAAAAGTCAGTAGGTTGCTCTGCAGGTCTCAGATACGGTCACATTCCTGAATCGGGATGAAGATGCTGCTTGTGCCCTGGTGTAGTGTGTGGAGTACATGGATTGTACACTGACGTTTAGAGGGAAAGGCTCACCAGCTACTTGAAAGCAGGCGGAGCAACACTGTGTGATCTGCTTAAAAAGTCTCTCTGCTGGGAAGGTTTGGCCTTTTGATGAGTCGAGTATAATCACAAAGAGATGAAGAAACGGTCTAAAGGGTTTAGTCTTGTCCAGGTAATGGAGCAAGGCTCTGGAAACATCCAAGAAACCTAGCTTCTTCTCTCCTGGTGTCGAATATGGCCAATAGGTTGACCAGTAAGGTCTGGTATGTTGACACTCTGAGTTGTAAAGAGCAGTAATAGTAAGATTTTTCTCCCAGACACATTGAGCCTTTTTGGGTCACTGTCTCCACTCCCCCACCCTCTTAGAGGTACACTTGTTTGATTTAGACTTTTACTGCACTGCTCAAACATCTAAGGAGTCTGGGTTGTGGTGGGCATGGAAGTACTCAAATCCAGATTGAGAGACCTGGTACCTTTTCTCTACCTATTTTGCAGTTGTAGTTATAACGGCTGGTGTCTGCCACCAGGGTCTAGCCAAGTGGTGGGCAACCTGTGGCATGAGACAGTTTGTTTACATTGATCGTCCTCAGGCACGGCTGCCCGCAGCTCCCAGTGGCTGCGGTTCGCCGTTCTGGACTGGCAATTGTGAGAATGTTGAACTTATGGAATTCCTCTGATGTGACCAAAGTCTTTAGCTCCAGAGTTTCAACTATTCTCATAAACAGCTCTGAGTCTTGAAGACATCCAGGCTGGTACTGGTGACAAGGAGACCACCTTGTCAGGTGACAAAGATGACAGGTCCTTTGGTGGTGTTTTTGCTCTAAAGACCTGTAAGGACACACTCCAGTAAGCTCAATAAGGCCACAGAGGCATGCCTTTAGGGTGTTTGGTATTGACTAAAAGAATGCCATTTTTGCTGAGCCCTAGCGGGAGAGCTGACAGGTCTTTCAGTAACAGATCTCAGAGGAGCAGGTTCTCTATTTGAAGGTGCTGAGAATGTATGTCCCAGTGACATGTGTGGATGATGCTGAAGTATATGATGCTTTTAGTACTAGGGGTTTGCACCAGTATGGATAGGTGTCTTAGTACTGATGATGGTCCCCAGAGTATTGCCATTGTCTGTAGACATTGACACTGAGGGATATGACACCAGAGAAGGCTTCCTCTGTGCCACAGACTGCTCCTTATTATCAGAACTCAAAGCCATGTGGGTCTTGGTGGCTGTATCCCTGAGGCTTTATTTGATCTGTCTTTATAGGAGGACACTGAGCTCCACCTGGAGTCTCTGCCTTTGAGATCAGAGTGGCCCCTCTTGGTGCTGAGCTTTGGTATGGTAGGTGTTGGCAATGGCTTTGCTGTCGATGGTGCCTGAGGTTCCAGTGCTGTGCAAATGCCAGGTCTTTCCTCATCACCATCTTCTCTGCTCTGGTCTTTGGAGTCACTTGCCTGCTAGATGGTGAGCTGAATGAAGCTGGCTTGTCCATTACCCAGATCCAGATGCCTGTTGTCTCAGGATCTCAAGAGACCTTCACAGATTGCTCCAGGAGATGAAGCTTTAACTGCGTGTCGCATAATCTACATTTTATTATGGAGAATGAAAGGCACATTGAACATTTACTCGGTATGTGGGGCTCTCCTAAATAGAGGAGGCACCTCCTGTGTTCATCCATCAATGGAATTGTCCATCAGAGGACAGGCACAGCTTGAAGCCCACAGATTTCAAATCCACTTGTACAGATGGAGTGTCTGGAGGACCTGTGCACAGGGTCTGATATAAATACTCAGCCCAGATAGATTGGTATCATTCATGGTGGTCGTTTGTCACAGAATCAGAGGAGTTATGAAGATTTTATGAAGAGTTTGAAGAAATTTAGCCAAAGCTAAACTAGTGGGTCAGAAGTTTGCCAGGTTCCATCTTACTGTCGGGGTGGTAAAATGGAACAGAGGGTCATAGTCTTAATGCCCTCACATAGCAGCATGAGGACCCACAGAATGCATACACACCCCCAATGGACACTGCTGTTCAGAAACAAACAAACATCATGTGCATGAGGTGAATGGAAACCACACGGACACATAGCAGAAGAACAGAATATACCCGCTGAGAGAATTTGTATCAATGTTGTTATGCAAATCACAAATTCACATTGTAAAATATAAACAAAACATAAACAGTACAGAGTCCTTTATTTAACATATTAAAGGAAAAAAGGCACTCTAAGAGTTTGGGAATGCTAAAAGTTCCCAAAGCAGAAAACTGAGATAGTTTAGGGGAGAAGATGAGAGAGCTTAATCTCTTGAGTCAATTAAGAAGTCCACTATGCCTGGATGAACAGTTGACTATTGATGTCAAAAACTACAGAGGCGAGAGAGGGATAAATCGATCCACATTTTGTGGTTTGGGCCCATTCCTTGCTGAGATATTGTATACATGTTAAGACATGTAAAATTATCAGGAGACGGGACAGGGAGGATGAAGAAGGAAGTGATTTTAAGAAATGGGGGAAGAGGAGGGATAGAAGGATAGAAAGAAGTATGGTGGTCAGAGAGAGTGAGGCAGCAAATGGGAATTGGAGCTGCCAAATTACACCCCAGAGGTGGCTGCATTTCAGTGATGGATGAATTAATATTTCAGTGTTTGTATATTTTCTGTAGTAACAATAGGTAAGTACAAGTGACTACTGCAGATGCTGATGTTACTCTATCCATTTATATAAGGTAAAACTGGGAAGTTTTTAAGGGCCACCATGATAGCCCAATACAGTTTGGGAAGAACTCTGTGGTCCCCTGGTGTGAAGGATACTATATAAATCTAAACTACCTGTATTATTTTATAAGATGCCAAGCATTATATTGGTGAAAGTTAGCAGACAAATAATTCTCCTCAGCAGCCTTCTGTGAAGAACACACTGATAACCTTAAGACCAGCTTTGAAAAGGATATAGCTAGATATTTATGTGACAAAGATATCACTGACCTAAGTCTTCCCATATATCTTAGTTCACTTACTTGATTCATGGTTTAAGATTTACATTCAAGTTTCATGTTCCAAAAACTGCTGACTCTGGACACATTTATAATACTTTGAAACAAGGAGTCACTAGCCCAATGCCCTCGTAAGCGTAGTCTGATAGTCAGCAAGAAAGGGAAGGATAAATCAGTTATAGCCAGTCATCTGCCCCTTGTACTGTATGTTCTGCGTCTTTCGTTATATTCAGCAGAGCTCCTCTTCTAAAATATAGTTCAGAGCAGTAAAGTTAAAACATTTGTATGTTATACAAATACCAGCCAGCGTGGGGGTCTCCTGCTTTCTTATCACTCCCAGCTTCCTGCATGATGGAAGATGTGACACTGGCATACGGGATGACCCCTTTGTATGATGGTTTCTTTAAGAAAAGCAGGCAGTAAAAGTTCCTTTGGCAATAGTGGAGAAAGATATTTCAGATGCACTCCCTCCTGTTTGTGTTCAGAATGCATTTTCAGGGCAACTGGAATGTGTGTAGGCTATTAGATGAGTAAGCCTGAACACTGACATTGAAGGGAAATGGACATTCTTTAAAGTAAACCTGGAAAATGTTGATCCAGAAGATTCTTCTGCTCTGGAGTAGTTGATATAGGACACAGATGATGATGCTTAATGTCAGTTCAACAGGAGAAGCCACAAAGTAAAAGAAACATGATCTTCAGGGCACAAATCCCATGAAAGCATATTAAAACCTTGTTTTCCCTGATTGGGAGGGGAATGGCTGAGAGTCAAGCTACGGCATTTATTTATGGTAGTCACACATTTTTAGAGAACATAATAGGTTTGTTTCCTTTTTAATTTGTTTCTTATTATTTTTACAGTTCTCAAAAATAGGCTAGTTGTGTGATCACCTGTAAATGTAGCAAGGTGTTATAAAAGCAGAGAGAGCAAAGGAGAATGATCATACTGTTCCTGCTTTTCTCTTAGTCATCCTCAGGAAATCAATGGTATTTCAGAGCTGCTTAATTCATTAATAAGGAACTTAACACTTTTTACTCAATTGTTTATTTCATAGCTTTTCACTCTTTTCTGCAGGCTTCACAGAGTTCCCCTTAGTGACAGGAGGCCAACATTACTATTAAAAATACCTATCAGGTAGCAACCAACAGTTCACAGGACATTGTCTGGGACTGTAACCTGGGAATGGCTTTGTAAAACCTGGGACAGTTGTGGATAAATGGGCATATGGATATATTGGTGATATGCATGCTACATAAGTCAGTGGGAGAATTGCCTACATATCTTGCTCTGAGCATTTTTCATTGCACCACAGAATAAGAGGAAATCTATGCATCACAACTCCAACTTGGCAAAATATTTCTCTAAACCTCACATGCTCCTTTACAACCCATCCATGTACTGAGTACAGTTCAGTGATGGATATGCAAAGTATGTGCTGCAGGCAGTGAGGGAATCTTTACCCCTTGTTAGAGGATGTAAACCCAGGCAAACAGGAGAACAGCCCAGTACAACAAAATATCTCACAACAAAAAACACAGATTGATTTTATATTATTTTTATTGAAATATTCTTATCCAGTTCGCCTGGTTTCCTTTACATGTTTGTTGTCGTTTCTTGTTTCTCTATCACAAATGACAAATACTTTGTAAAGATGATCTGTACATTTGTTACAATCAACAGTCAACATATACTAGTAGAATTATTCACTTCATTTCGTTATTTATAGGCTTTGCCTTCCTCAACTGGCTCTTCATTTGATGTCAGACCAACTGTACAGGGTTGAGATTTGGCAACCTGAAAGAGAGAATGTGATTCATGAACTCCTGTTTCAAATACATAGTGCATGTACAGTACTGGGAACTACAGTAGATCTTTTTAATTTGACGTTGTTACTCATCTCTCACAAAGAACCAAGTAGCTGGATAGTAGAATGGGTAGCTTGACGTTTGATGCAAACACTTTATTACAAAGAACGCAATGAAAATGCAGTTACAATGGATGAGGGAGAAATGGGGACTTAGGCACAACAGGGAGTGGAACTCAAAATGGAACAAAGGGGTTGGGGAAGTGCCAACCACCATTCCTTAAAAAAACAGCAAACAAGGGGGAATGAGTGAAGTAAAGAAAAAAAAAAGAGAGGCCAGAGATACTGCAGTAAAGAGAAAAAAGAGAGAAGGGTGGGGGAGATGAATTGGAAGAGAAATGAACAAGGATTTTAAAAAGAGGCAGGGAGAAACAAGGTGAAAGATGTGTCATTAACTGCCAGAAAATGCCCTCCCCTATGATCATTCTTACTTAATATGCTTGCCTGAACTTTCAGATACTTTTAGAAGGAAATCGTATCCTTTGTCCTTCCCTACTGCCAAACTGGATTCTGACAAGTCTTCTTCATGGATGTATCCAAGGTCCTGACAAAGTGTAACAATAGCTGAACACAGACCTGTCCTCCACAATCATATCAATAATGGCCTTTACAATGACATTGTTTGGGTGACAGGAAAAAGTGAATGGCAGCAACGTCACATCAGGGTAGGGTAGAACAACTCTATTCAGTGTGATTACAAGTCATTCTCAAACATCCCAAATACTGAAAACTAATGTCAAATACAGTACCTTCAATGAACAAATGACTTCCTCTTTGCTGCTTCCTTGTGTAATGGCCAGCTGAATTGTCTCCTAAGGCCAGAGGCAGACATTAGGACTCCCAGGCTCTCAATGGTGTGCAAAATCTATTTGGCTGTTTTCCCATTTCTTAGATCACTTCTTAGATTTCATGTTAATTCATTTTCTTGCATGTTGCTCCTCCATGTAAACTCAGATGATAATCTGTAGGGTTTTGGTTACCAAGTACTGTACCGCACAGGAAATGCTGTATGAGCAATGTCAGATCTTGAACGCAAACCTCTGGATACCGATTGTAGCATGGGAAGCTTGGTATTGAATCAGCATGCTGATGGTGTCCCAAACAACATTAAGAACCTGGCAGAGGATCCAGTCTTGGAATCCTTCAAGATCTCTACAGATGTAATAATGGTGAGGGAAAATACCTTGGCATCATGGCATCTCTACAGGTCCATGTTGTAGTAGGATTAGATGTTACAAAGTATAGGGCCACTCCTGATTGTTAGTATTTATTACATGTGTTGAGCTACAACCTAGATCAAGAATGTAAACACATCTCTGTATTCACATAAGAGTTTTATAAGGAGTTATACTAATAAGATTCTTTTTACTTTCAATCTTATATCTATGAGGTACTCAAACAACACAGAAGTTGATCTTTTTCACTATTACAGTAAACTCAGCCAAGCCTAGAAAATGTGTCTATCACAATCAATTTATATATGTGATATGTAAACACAATCTCACCTGTCATGGTGTCTTTCCTGGAAGTGTGTTCTCCTTTATTACCATGGTAAGCGGCATTTGTTCCAGTTGATTCATAGTCTGTTTTCCTTTCTTTTAGGCTGATCATTTCACGAGGTGAGGCTGGGGCACTTGCTAGATAGTAAAAAAAAATAATTTTTCTCCCTTCACACCACTGCAAGCATATCTGGGGTAAACAATTTCATAATATTTACATTTGTTAATATATAGGAATTAAACTGTAAAGTGCGTAGACAGAACTGGATTTGGAAAGGGGTTAGAGGTGCTGCTATTTCAAATATATGACAAATGTATTAATGGTAATGGCAGTTGTTAAAAACTGCATTTCTGTCTGAGCATTTTGTTCCTTCTCCATTTACATGCAACAACTAAGATGATCACAATGGAATGACATAAGCAGCAATTTTATTTTTCTTCATCCTTTCCATTTCTTTAATTTGTACATTTGACAACCATTTTGCATAATCAGGTTCACTTCCCAAGGTATCATCAGTTTCTCCTTTGTTGAAAAAACTTTTATAATGATTAACAGGGAGCAGAAAAACCCTTATAAGTTATTCTTTGTTTTATTACTTGAAAATAAACAGGAACCATGCAATGATTATGAGAAAAAAAGGCATTAGTATGGAAAATGTAACTTTAACTAAAAAAACAAGACATATACAAATGTTCGGGTAAATGCTCAATCCTTAAAGTAACCCCAATAATTCTGACTCTAGAATTATGGGTATGATTATCCGTATATATAGCAATGACCATTAAAAAGTCAGCATCTACCAAAAATACCAAATAATCATAATAATTAATTCCTATTCCAGGTGATGGAAAAACAATGGGATTTCATATAGCAATTCTTTTTAATGGTGACCTCTCTGTCTTTCTGACCATACTGGAGTAACATCATTTAGTTAACTAAAGTAACTAGCAAATGTTGAGGGTGGGCACTGTATTTAACTGCATTCCTGGCTGCACATATCATTGTAGTATTTAGATGACAAATATGTTAGTAAAGGTTTACAATAAAGTGTTCATAAAATAGAGATATGTTGGATATTAGGGCAACAATTAGGACTTATTAACGTATTTCTTAAACTTTTATTTTCCCCAAACTAGTTTAAGAATAGAGGGGGGGTTTCTTCCATTGAGACCCCTATTACCAGTTCTGGGGTCTTGCTCCCAAAGATAAGAAAAGTTTGATTAAATATTTCTGGGGGATAATGTATTTTCTCAGCCTTTGACAAAAGTTAACCCTATAACAAATGAACGCCTCGACACAGTCCCCTAAGGTATTCTGGATGTTGCAGGGCTCTGCAATTCCCAGTACTTTATAGATTCCCCAAGACTGTATATCAGTCAAAATTTTCTAGCAGGAAGAATATTTTTTTTCCCAATTGTTATTAGGCATTTACATTTCTACATGCAAACAAATACAACCGGTTCTGAGGATTTTTAGTTTCACTTATTCAAAAGCACTAAGAATCTTTAGAGAGGAAGGAACACAAATAAAGAGGGATTCCCGCCCCCCTGAGCAATGATGAGAGGAAGCTTTTCTTTTAATAGCTTGGGTAATGGCAAGTTTGATCTTTGTTTTAATGACTGTTTAAAAATCAGGCCCTTTTTAGGGAAAATTAAGGTCACATAGTTCTTTCTCTTTCACTCTCTGGCTGGAAATCCAAAAGAATATCCCTTCAGGAAAAATAAAACTGCCCCACATTTGGAAATGGTGTCACAAATGTATTTCATCCTGGGCAGCTCTACTTTTATGTGTGATCAAATCTAACTAGAAATCCAGGGTTTCTTGGCCAGCAAGGGACTTGCAAGGTTAAATCTTTATTAAAAGGATGTCAGCAATATTCTCCCTAGATGCTACCAGCAAGAAAGCTGTTGTATTATCACGGTGGACTTGGTAAGGTCTCTAGTGGTAAATGTGTTTTTGATTGCTGATAAACGTATGGCAAAATGATTGCTACTGCAGTCAACGTTTACTCCAGCTGGGAGTGAATGACCATCAAACACAAGGAGGGCTGTGGGGAGGTGAATAGTGCCCTGCTGTTATACCTGTTAACATGATTTTCCTGAGGCCCTTCTCGCTGCTTCACAATTTTAAATACAGCAAAACCCAAAGGTTGCATTAACCAATTCCCCAAACAGAAAAAAGAAGCCTCTAACTCGAGGTCCTATGCTAACAACTACAGTGCAACTCCTTACCGAATACTTTCTGCATTATGCATGGGAATCTCACTGAATCTTGATTTGGAGACCAGAATTTTGACCCAAACTGGGTAAAGTCAATAAAATACGTGTGAGGGTCTCCTTGAGAAATTCCAACACCCGTTAAACATCCTGGTTTTTTGTTTGTTTTTTTGTGGGGGGGCGGGGGGGGAGATAGGGACAGAATTAAGCTCCTGTTCCAGATTTTAATGAATCAAGGGATTTTATACCTACATATTTCAAATCTGGGAACAATGGTGACGGAGGATCACTGTCCATGTTGATACTGAACTTCCCATTAAGCTCAATGTTACAACAAAGAAACGCCCCATTTTAAAGTCTTCTTATAGTTAAATTTTCAAAAAGCTCAGATCCAATTTGGGCACGAAGAGAAGTGAGGAGACTTTCAAAAGCTCAGCCCCTTGAATGATGAGTTCTTTTGAAAACCGGCCAGAAGTGTCACAAAGGGACACGAACTCTTGAAAATCAAGCCGTTATATGGGTGCCTACATGGGACCCGAGCTCATTTGAAAAAGTGATCCCCAAAGTGCATACTGAACAATTCAATAATTGCCCCGATTTGTTATGTAATTGTGGTCCCCAAATCTAATTTTTTCCCAGGTATACACATATGCAAGTTCCACTGAAATAAATGAAGGTTCTGTATGTGTATATTTAAGGCAGAATGGCTCAGTCATTATCTACTTTAGATTAGTAAACATGGGCAAAACACTGGAGAGAGAGCAAAACGCGAGGATAGTGTTTGAGCAGCACCGATGCCTAATGAATGCGTTCTCTTATAAAAACAATTTTCGCCAAGTGTTGGTATTTATTTTTTCCATTTTGATCTCAATATTGGAGGAGGTACTAGCATTTCTTCTCATGACACAAACTTGAATAGATGGGCAGAAAGGCAAAAGCTTTGGGCCTCACAAAATCAATACACACCAGAGAGAAACCTGGCTTCTGTTTCTCAGCATATGGGATGAGACTTGGAAGTGGTGTATGCCGAGAGTTTAGTTGGAAAGTTTCAAAATAGTGGTGAAAAAAATTAATGGGAAATGTCAATGAAAAACAGATCCTGGCTCCACTGAAGTAAATGACAAAGCTCCCGTTGACTTTAATAGGGCCAGGATTTCATTCCAAGAGTTTATCAGAAAGTATTATAGATTTAGACTGAAAAAAATTGGACCAATTCAAGTACACCACCCCAGCTCTTATCAAAGAAATGAAGTAAAGAAACACTAATGAGAGAGAAAGCATTATATAACACTGGGGTATTGGCTGGCTGCTCAATGTTCACTTAGAGACTTCCCAGCACTCTTTAAAAGTTTTCTACTGCTTAGGAAACAAAATGGATACTTATGGCTGTTAACTTGACAATGCTAAAACAAGAATTAAGATTAAAAGTGAGTTTCAGTTAAGATTTTTATGTAGGGCACAAGTATAACCTTTACATTTGTTGCTTAGTATGTTATTTGAACTCCACTCCTTTAAATATCTGGTTTAATGAAGGCAAAGCACATCAATGAAATTTCCTTTCCTCACATTTAGAAAAGGTGGCTGATATATTTTCAGTGTGATATTGTAATAGCAACGAATAATAGCACATTCATGTCCTCCTTACCATGACAAAAAGTGGAAGTGGAATAATTTATAATTATTGTGTCATTTATTTTTGAAACTGTTCTGTTCATTACTTAAATCACAAGGACAGAAATTTGTTCTCTAGTCTCATATCTGTTCTTTTCCTGTGAGGCTGGTATTGTTTTACTAGAGTTTAACCTCTAAAGGATATGTTAATACATAGTAAGGTTTTAGAAAGAACATTGATGTTTGATAATGGTTCAGCTTATTACACAGTATTATTTCTATAGTTTACAAAAAAGATCTGTAAAAACTCATGCACAAATCTTAATCTTTGGTCATTTCCTCCAGCAGTCCTAATTTACACTGTATTTTTCTTGTTAGGATTAAGGTAACAAATTTGCATCGATTCAGAATTTTGATTAAATTTTCTCCCCCCGGTTGGGACCCTTGGATTTAAAAACTAATGTTAAGCAGATGGCTGTGCTTATGTATCCATTAAAATTGGGGATTGCTCTTAAAGCGATTGTCCGCTATCTATCTAGCAAGGTTTTAAGACTCTGACATCATCAAAAATTCCCAATCAGAATCAGAATATGGTTTTGGACAACATGTGTCCTCAGCCAGAATCTAACAGGACAACATACAAAACATAGCTCTAAAGGGGTGCTAGGACATCGCTAAGACATCAAAACACTAATGGTCATGTTAAGCATGCTGCTTTTTGTACACAGTCAAATGATAAGACAAAACTGTTTGTCCGTTCCCTGCAGGAACTATATCTATTCACCCCTGTGTGAGCAACAGCTCTCCATCAATTATTCAAATCCACAAGTGGACTTCTGCAGAGTTTTTACTGGAAGCATTAATTAAATTGTCTGTTGACGCTGGACTGAGAAACACTATTATGATTTACGGTACTGGGGGGTGGAGGGATGGGGCGGGGTAGAGTCCTATATGTTAGACAAAGTTAGATTCCCTCCTTGAACTGAACAAACAACGGAAAGCAGGAGATACTTGGAGTCAGATGTTCACCGAGAGCTCAGGGCCAGATTTTTCAAGCACTCAGCACTCACAATCAGGGTCAGATTTTCAAAAGGGCACCCATCTAGGTGCCTGTATGAAGAGCAGATTTTTGAAATGGCTTAGTACTCAGCCACGGCTATGGGGATACTTGTGGCCAGATTTTCAAAATAGCTCAGCACGTTGCCCTTGTAGATTGAGACTGGACTCCTAGATAGTTAACAAACATCAAAAAACAATCACTTTTGCACTAGGGTGTAAATAGTTTAGCCAGACATATCTTACTGCTGATATCCCGGTAACTCTGTGGAACAACTTGCAGATGAGGAGTGATTAATAAGATTGGGACTGTTCATCTTAGAAAAGAGATGACTAAGGTAGGGACACGATAGAGGCCTATAAAATCATGAATGCTATGGAGAAAATGAATAAGGAAATATAATTTATCCTTTCACATAACACAAGAACCAGGGATCACCCAATGAAATTAATAGGCAGCAGGTTTAAAATAAAGATAGGAAGTACTTCTTCACACCATGCACAATCAACCTGTGGAACTCATTGCCAGGGGATGTTGTGAAGGCCAAAAGTATAACTGAGTTCAGAAAAGAATTAGATAAACTGATGGAGGTTAAGTTCATCAGAGGCTATATGCAACCCCGCTCTCTGGGTGTTCCTAAACCTCAGGCTGCCAGAAGCTGGGACTGGACGACAGTCCTACTTGATAAATTGCCCTGTTCTGTTCATTCCCTCTGAAGCATCTGACACCAGTCATTGTCAGAAAAACAGGTTACTGGGCTAGAGGGACCATTGTTCTGACCCAATATGGCCGTTCTTATGTTCTTAATGACAGAGGTTTAACAGAGCAAGCAGTCAAATGCAAAGTGAGAGGCTGATAGGATTTTCTTGTGTTTATTTTAAAAGACTTTATTTTTATTGAGGATTACTTTCATTTAAAGTAATGACATATTTTAACTTGGAATAAGTGGAGGAAAAAGAGGCCTGAATTCTACATGTGAAAACTGAATTGATTCCTGTGTAAGACAGAAATAATTCCACAGTGGATGAAATAGCATTTAATGGCAGTTTATATGTTCATGGCATTGATATTAGATGTAGCATTGCAATCAATCCTTCTGCCAATACATCCATAACGAGATGCTCAGTTGATGAACATTGGTGTAGATCCATTAACTGGAGTAGAGTTATGATGATTTACACTAGCTGAAATTTCTGTCTAACAGTATAAAACATACATACCAAATGAATTTGTGGTTTCTATGATTAGTAAAGCAAATTACTTGGAGGCATCTGAGATGGGGAACTTCCCAATGCTAACAGTAGGCCCAATGGCCTGGGACATTTTCACTTTCCCAATCAGATAATTTTAACTGGCCAGTGGACAAGGAAGATAGTGAATGGACATTCACAGTAAAAGGTTACCCTGAATAGTCTGTCTGCTTTAAATTTCTTCAAGGCATTCACACAAATAAAAAATATTCCTGTATACAAACATACACTGATAAGAATGAAAAAATTTCCCACAAGCTCCCATCACGGTTAATAATGCATCTAGATGCCACTGACGGTGCTTAACAATGGAAAGATGACATTACTAGATTACTTCTCTGTTTACTTGAGCCCTGGAAGCATGGTCTTACCTGAGCGATTATTAGGAGACATGCGCACTGGTGAGATGGAGGGCGTGCGTGATGAAGAGTATGGTCTTTGCCGATCCCGCTCTATTGTTGAAGATGAGGCTACAAAGTGATACTGTGACCATCCATCCTGCATGAGGACAACATCAAACATTGGGACAGGTTTCAGTGAAAAAGATGCATATATACAACACTCCATTTAATGTAAATAATATTTCTATTTAATTAGTGTTTTCACTAATTATTATGAATACTCAGTTACAATAATTACATATTAGCTCACAACGGCTACTCTGTTCTCCAGTGCTAGGCTGATTTACTCTGCCGATTTACAGCATGCCAAGTATGCTCAATGCTATAAAATATAAGATGGTGCTCAGGGTATGTCCACACAACAGGGTAATGCCCTCTATGGGAGAATGCGGAGGCGTGATTTCTAAAGTGCACTGATGTGTTGCACATTAATTGGTATGTGGAAACCCTGCTGGTGCACTCTAAAAGTTCCCTGACATAATGCTGTTAAATCACACTAGGGAATTATTAGTGTGCACCACTAGGGTCCACATGGACCAATTAATGCACAACATGTTAGTGGATTTTATAATGCACACCCTCCATAGTGCACATTTCCCCACTGCATAGACAACCCCCAGACACTACAATGTAGCCCCCAAAATACTTACAACAGACACAAAGACACAATCCCTTTTAGGGCTGTGCAAAATTATGCAGAATTTGAATACAATTTTAGGCATTTTCATTCTGCCCTTTTTCACACCTCTACTTTTCCTGAAATGTCATAAAAATGATAAGCCAGCTGTGAAAATATGCAAAATCATGATATTTTGTCTGTTTTTACAGTGTAAACATTTTTTCCTCGAAATCAGTTCTATTACAAAGGAACATTTTAATTTTGCAAGAAAATGTTAAATGGCTAGATGAGCATTCAAGCCTTTTGAATTTTGTGTAAATATTTCACACACCCTCTAGCCTAGTTAATACACTGAGACTGTTCAGCTGTTTGTTCATAACTGGGAAACAAGAGTATGTTCTTTACAATGTTTTATTATAATATAATGCCCATTTTCCCAGCCCTGTTTTCTCTAGGGTGCACAGAAAAAGTTGCCCTCTGTATTTGAAATTGAAATATGTAATGATATGAACATTTCTAAGTTAGTGGCTGTTCAAGTTCATATTACTGAAAATGGCTTTATTTGTTCAGGAGTCAAACACTGCAGAGCCTAAAGCTGCTTTATGGTCTAACATAACATAACATAACATAAATACTAAACAGTAACATTTTTTCTTAATTAATTAAACTAGCATGAAAGCATAATGAGAGCTAAAATGGCTATTAGTAGCTCTGATATTGGACTCCACTATATTATTTCAGATGCCACAAAATATTTACTGATGAAATATCTTTATCATCTGTAAATCTTGTGCCAAATCTGTCATGTAAGTTTACCAACTTGGGCACAAAATCTACTTGCCACTCTTAAGATAACACTTTACTTAGTCCTTGAAAAAAATGCTTTCCAGGGACCTGATCCAACTCCCATTGACCTCAAGGTCAATGTCCCTAGTGAGGAAGCAAAAAGAATTTTGCAAGGCTGATATAAGTGTGATTAAAAATATATATTATAAACATTGTTAAAAACTGGCTCCAATTTCCCTCTTAATTTGGCTATTTTGCTATATGAAAAGTAATTGCCACCACCTGTACTTTCAGAACACTCTGCTGAGGAAAAGTGGTGCTGTTTTTCTTTTTTAAACAGCAAAAGCAAAGAAGATGCTTGCTTATTGGATTTCTATCTATACATAATATTGATAACTTGAAATAGACACACTCAATGTACAATTAAAAGCACTGAATGCACATCTCTTCCCTCTATGTTGTTTGTATAGTGCATTGGTAGGTGGCTGTGTGTCAACTGTGAAATTACAACACACGTTTAAAACGAAAATTAAAAGAGTGAAATTTGGGTCATAGCTTTTGAAGATGGGTCCATTATTTTCATTGGCGTGGCTAGCTATAGAGCATTTGTACATATAGGAAAGTGATGTTTGTGCCTCTTCACAGGATCTATATGTCCCCAGGCAGTGAAGGATCACATAGAAAATGTAGGGAGAAAAACAGAGAGCCAATAAGGAATAGTAAGAATTACTAGAAAATGTCAGTTAATCCTTATTACCAATGATAAGAAAGAATTTTCTAAATCCAGTCAATCATCTCCAGCAAGCAGATGACTTAGAAGCATTTATAAATCCATTGTATGCCCACATCTTGAATACTGCATGCAGATGTGGTTGCCCCATCTCAAAATAGATATATTGGAATTAGAAAAGGTTCAGAAAATGGCAACAAAAATTATTAGGGTATGGAATGGCTGCCATATGAGGAAAGATTAATAAGACTGCAACTTTTAAGCTTGGAAAAGAGACAACTAAGGGGGGATACGATAGAGGTCTATAAAATCATGACTGGTGTGGAGAAAGTAAATAAGGCAGTGTTATTTACTCCTTCTCATAACACAAGAACTAGGGGTCTATAAATGAAATTAATAGGCAGCAGGTTTAAAACAAACAAAAGGAAGTATTTTTTCACACAATGCACAGTCAACCTGTGGAACTCCTTGCCAGAGGATGTTGTGAAGGCCAAGAATCATAGAATCATAGAAGATTAGGGTTGGAAGAGACCTCAGGAGGTCATCTAGTCCAACCCCCTGCTCAAAGCAGGACCAATTCCCAACTAAATCATCCCAGCCAGGGCTTTGTCAAGCCTGACCTTAAAAACCTCTAAGGAAGGAGATTCCACCACCTTCCTAGGTAACCCATTCCAGTGCTTCACCACCCTCCTAGTGAAAAAGTTTTTCCTAATATCCACCCTAAACCTCCCCAACTGCAACTTGAGACCATTACTCCTTGTTCTGTCATCAGGTGCCACTGAAGAACAGCAGTGTAGCTCCATCCTCTTTGGAACCCCCTTTCAGGTAGTTGAAAGCAGCTATCAAATCTCCCCTCATTCTTCTCTTCTGCAGACTAAACAATCCCAGTTCCCTCAGCCTCTCCTCATAAGTCATGTGCGCCATCCCCCTTTTCATGTTTTTTCATCCTAGCTTCTGGATTTTCTCTTGTTGCACAATCTGCA